TGGCAGGGGAAGGGGTTTCAGAACCCAGTGGTACTCATGCATGGCTTTGCCAGGCCCTCCTGGCAGCAAAGCCCTGGAGGGAGGGACAAGGGATCTGATCAGCCAAATGCTTCTTGAGATGAGATGATGGGGCCTTCCTATGCCTCAGCAGAGGTAAGTGTGCAGGCCTGGGGGATGTGGGCCTGAGCACAGAGCTGACTGATGGTCCAGTATAGGTCACACATGTTTTCTTTTGCCAACAATAGGCCCTATTGCCTATTCAGGGAAGGAAGCACAAGCTAACCCCCACTCTCTCCCTGATGCTCATAATGACCCACAAAATACCCCAAGGGAGTAGTTTTGCTCAGCAACCCAAGATAATTAGGTCTGCCCTGCAGCAAGTGAATGAGAGAGTGGGACAGAGGCTGCATTGGCAGCGGCCATCTGACTTGAAGGCTGTAAACCCTTGCATCCCCTTCCACCTGCAGAAGTCATTGTCCACCGTCCCACACACACCCCAGCAGAAGCTTGTTACCATCAGGAGTTTGGGCAGCCTAAAGGGACTGACCCTAGTACAACTGGAGCTCTTATGAGGAGCAAGGTTGGACTGACTTCCCAGGGCCCCAGCACTGTTGCCTTTGGACCCTGGAGAACACAGCCCAGCCAGAACCCACAGACATAGTGTGGGGCATAAATGGAAACATCTATGGCCCTGGGGGTAGTTTAGGCCTCTAAGCCACCTTCCCCTTTGTGAAAAACTACTCGCTAACATTTGTTGAGCAGCCACTGCATGCTAAACTCTCTAAATGAATTATCTCTTTTAAAGCACCCAACAATCCCATGAGGAAGGTCCTGGCTAAATGATCACATTTTAACAAGTATGGAAGCTGAACCTTAGCAAGATTCGGTGACCAAAGCATATAAAACACCATCCACATTGCTGCATAGACATGAGGTTCATTCCTTTTGTCTGCTGTATAGTGTTTCATTGTATGAATATCCACACTGCATCATCTTCAGTGATAACTAATATTATGGTTACTATTTTATGCTTAGTTCTAGGGCTTTTTCTATGCCCCAAATACACATAAATCCAAATCAAGTTTATAGGTCCACATCTATTTGTATATGTTTGTGCCCTACAATGTAATCTCCATGTGGGTAGGAATTTCTTTAAAATTTTTTGTTGTATCCTCATCACTTAAAAGCATAACTGACACACAGTAGGTACCCCATAAATATTGTTGAATGAATGCATACGTAAATATATAATTATGTTCAGTAGAGTTTAAGAAGTCATGTTTGTTTTCTGTAGGTACTTGGTTTTTTTGTTTAATTGAATGCCTTTCCTTGTCAGTACATACAGATCTGCCTACTTCTTCCCCGTTGCTGCACGATAGTTCATAGATCATCAAAGTTTTCTCTTGCTGAAAGATATTTCAGTTGCATCTAATTCTTTTGCTGTTAAATGCTATGTTTAACATTCTTGAACATCCTTGAACCTCTGTCCTGATGCACAAGTGTGACACTAGAAATGAAGAATGTACATACGTAGAAGTGAATTTGCTGGGTCTTAGGAGACATATGTCTGTATTTATTTTTATATCAACAAATTGCTCTCTGATATTATTTTAAAAAACTAACTGCACTCCTAGTAACAGGATGTGAGCATTCCCACTTGTCATCAGTGTCTGGTACTATTCGATGGATCAGAAATGGCACCTCATTTCACTGATTGGTCAGTGAAGTTCAATCCATGGTTTTACACTTTTTTATTTTAATAGATGTTCTTTCAAATACCAAACAGCATCTATCAAATATGTTGGCCTAAATTTCTCTGTATTATTTTCTCATAATCTTTTCAGACTATTTTACTATCCCTTTTCCCCTTTCTTTCCAAATAATGTTTTATTTTCTTCTTCTCCTTCTCCCTCTCTTTAACCGGTTTCACCAGAGGGTATTCTTCTAAGGAGATATCTATTAGCTTGGCTAATTTTCTTTACTGTATCTTTTTTTGTTTTGCTAATGTCTTCTTTTTATATTCCTTTCTATACATCCTTTGGTTTTATTCTGCTGATTTTTTCTAACTTAGTTTATTATTAATTAACTTCCTTTTACAAGGTAAGAATTTAAGGCTGTATATATTTTTTTAAATACTTTTCATTCTAATATGGGTAAATGTTCAGCTTTTTTTAAAAAACATTTATTTATTTATACAAGAACTGGGGTATAGTCAGAGGTGCCGGAGGGTGAGAGAATTCACCAGCGACAGTGCGAGGAGCAGACCAGGCAGATCGACTGAAACACACTACTGAGGGGAGCAGTGGGCAAAACAGGAGATGTCTGCCGTGTCACGTGGGTATCTCCCTGGCAGGCTGGTAATCAAACCCTTGCTGCAGAGGCCGCGGACAGCTTCACTGCATGGCGCTCAACCCACTGCGCCACCGGGGAGGCCCAAGGCTGTATATTTTCCTCTACATACTGCTTTATCTGCACCCTACAAGGTTGATAAATAGTATTTTTAATCATTGTTTAGTTCTAAGCATTTAAAACCTATAATTTTTTTCTTTAATTAGTATTTTTGAATATACAAATACAATTTTTGTTTCTTTTTTTAATTTATCTCTTGTTAGCAATTTCTAATTTAATGTCATTAATATTAAGGAACAATGTGTTAATTTTCAGAATTATTTGAAATTGCTTTATAGCTTTTCAATTTTAAAATTGTGAAACCAAGAATATATATTTCTTAATTTGAATTGCCAGGCTTTGTACTAAATGCAACTAATTATTTAAAGTTGAAAGTTTAACTCATCTGTATCATTGCTTGTTGTGGCTTGTATGAACTATCAGTTATTATGAGATTTTTAAAGTTTCCCACTGTAATGCTGTGTTTGACCCATTTCTACTTATACTTTCATCACATTTTCTACCTGTATTTTGGGGATTTTTTTTTAAAAACATTCAAGTTTGAAATTATTATTCTATCTTCTCTCTTGTTGAGTTGAATATTTTATTAAGTAGTTACTTGTTCATCTTTTAGAAATACCTTCATTATCATGTTTGTTGGTCGTGATTTCTCTTACTTTGTTGTTCTAATAATGTCTTCATTACACTGTCATTCCTAAAAGATCATTTTCCCAAGTTTTTAACTCTAGGGTATCTGTTATTTCAGCAATTTGAGGATATTTTGCACTAGTTTTACTCCATTGCTTTATTTCTGGTTACCATAGTGGCTCTAATAACAAAGAATGCAAACCTTCCCCTCCCCTGGCATATACACAGACATACACCTGATCTTAATGTCACACCAAAATGGACAGATAATAACCACCATAACCCCCAAAAATGGTATTTGGGGGCTGGACTTCAAACCAAGAGAGGGATATTATCAGGAGAAAGACTATAAATCTAAGCATTGTAGGAGCCAAAGCCAAAAGCCTCACAGATTCAGAGACAAGATATGGAGTAAAATGAATATAAACTCAGAGTCTAAGCCCCCATTGGAAGGAGAGCTCAGATCTAGGTCCTGGTGTTTGGGAAACTAATGCCAGCAGTCATCAAGGGCAGTATTTCTGTCAAATGAGAACCACAAATACCCTGCACCCATGAGGTTTTTTTGCCTTCATTTTATTTAGGTGCTTTTTCCCCCAGTGGCATTTGGGCCAGATGCACTGGTGATAAAAGCTGCCTTGTCTTGTTGGATCTTCCTTAGCCAAATTGTAAGGCATGCCCACCCCATCTTAAGCTTTGTGTGGAATAAATATGGCATCTTTTTCTTTCCTTTTTTTGCTATATTGACCATGAAAATACTACGTGTAGGCATGGAACCTAGAGATCCAGGCAGGCATCTGCCAGCCTGAGCCTGTCACTTCAGACTGGAGAGGGACCAAGGCCTGAGAGAAATGATGTACTGGATTTCCTTCATTCTTTTTTAACAGTGGAGCGGGAACAACTCCCTCACAGAAGAGTCAGCATCTGTGTTCTGAGGAGAGGGATGAGTGGGGGCACCAGCCCCACGGCCCTTTGGGCCCTGGGGTGGGTCAGTATCATGAACTTCTTCCCTCTGAGTTTGCAAGACACACATATGACAACGTGTCAGCAGCCAGTTCCCCCTCCAGGCAGGTTTAAGGGCTCTGTCAGGCTCAAGTCAATTTTCACTACCCCCAGCAAGATTCTCCAGTTACAAATCTAGAAAATAAAAAAAAAAACAGGTTCAAAATCAAAACTAAAACCCATTACAGTCCCACAGGGGACAGCCTGTGAGGAACTAGTTGATGACAGAGAGCAGTGGGGTGGTGCTTCAGATACCCACTGCTACACAGCCACCAGCCCCAGAGAGAGCGCCTTAAAGCTGCCATTTGCTCGCAGCCACATAGGTCGAAAATTCACACAGGACTCTGTGGGGACAGCTTTTCTCTCCAATTTGGGTCATTCAACTGGGCTGAAGGATACAAGATGGTGCCTCTCCTACCTGTGTCTTGCTGTTGGCTCTTGGTTGAGATCCTTGACTCCTGTTCACAGGGCCTACTTCTCTCTCATGGCCTCTTAATCTACAGGATCTCTCTTTCCAGAGGCCTCTCTCTGTAGCCACTTCTTTACAGAGCAGCAAAAGTGGAAACTACAAGGTCACTTCAAGCCCCAAAGGTCACTGTTGCCTTTCTGTTGTTTGGGTAAAACAAACCACATGGCCAGTTCAGGTTAAGGGCAAGAGGAATGTAACCTACCTCTTGATAAGAGATTGTCGTAGCCATCTTTGGAAATAGTCAGCACAGGAGGACTCCTAACATGCTTGTTTTCTGTTGCCATTGCTATCTTCCTTCCGCTGCTCCACCCCCTCAAGCCCTCTGACCCCTGTCTCCCACCATCACCCAGGTGTCTGGCAGGAGGATGCTGCTACCTGGCAGAAAGGAGGTTGATTTAAAAAAAAAAAATCTTTGCTATTTTTGTGGTTTTAACTTATTATTTTTATTTATAATGAGCTCTCCTATTCATTATAAATGTAATATGTCTGTCCACAGCATTCAAGGGCATGCTTTTTGATTTCTGTTGAAGGAAGTCCAGGAGTTGCTGGGGAGCAGGGCCAAGCCCAGCACTTTTTCCCCACATTCAGGTGAGTTCTCATCAGCTGGTGTTGTACTTAATTATGTACCCGTAAAACTTGCACCTAGCACATTGTTAAACAGCTTATTAGGAGTTCTAGCCTTCCTTGGAATAGTGTGAATTTTAAATTCTGAAAATGTAAGAAGAATAGCTATTTGTTTTGCACTTTTATTTGGGACAGAAAATAATCATAGAGTAAACTTCGGAGCACACTTGTGGCCCTGTTATGGCCATTTACATCACCGGAGAAGATAATAGAAATGAGAAGGGTTGTTTTTCATGAGGTACAGGAAGAAATTTTACAGTAAGAGAATTCTGGAAGTCACCTCAGGTTATAAAATCTGTCCTGGTGATCCTGTACCTGTCATAGTTACTACTGTTTCTGTCCTCTGCCTTGCCTCCTTCCCGTTGCTCAAATCCCATCTGCTTTTCCCTCTTCCTTCCTCCATGTGCTGAGTCCATTTCCAGGATTCCATGCCTAAGCTGTTCCCAAAAGCAAATTTCCAAAATTGAATTTGCCTTTGAGGAGAGAAAGCAGGTCTGTAGTTTGTTGGTCCCTGTTGCTTAATGTTCTCGCCATAATGCTGCTTAGCAGATGATTGGAGTTTAAAGGGCTTCTGTTTCTCATTGATTTTAAATGTGACATCATTAAGAGGCGGGGGAAGGAAGCAGAGGCCCACCGAGGTGCGCTCCTTCTCTGCTCTGCGCTGCTTACTGATTCTTAGAAGGTGGTGCTGAGTGCTCCTTAAAACTAGAGAAGCACATCAAGTACAGGCAAAGACTAAGAAATTCACTTTATTTGTCTGAATATATGATTCAATCCTAAGGATTGAGAGTCAGGAGACCTGTGCGTGGTGATCCCAACTCTGTCCAAAGGGAGCCTATAATCTTAGACAAATCGCTGGACTTCTTCTACTTCTGCATCTTGAAGTCAGGGATTTGGGTTCGATTCATGTTAACAAACTTTCGGTCAGGCATTGTGCTGGCACTGGGAGTAAAGCCTGACCTAGGCTGTACCTGGCCTGCAAGGACGTCAGTGTAATGTGCCGAGATACTCGATATCCCTCATCGTGTGAGTGTCCTGGTGCTCTGCATGGTGATGCAACATCGCTGGACTCTACAAAGGGGAGATCATGTACTTACTAGCCTGCTGCTTCTAGAAAACCATAGGTCTGGGACAAATATCACAGTATGGGCCATGGGCATTCATGTTTGTGTTTTTACAAGGTTTGTTTATGCTAGCACTCCACTGGCTCAGCCAGAGCTGGTTTGGTTGTGTATTAGTTCATTGATTTTCTATTGCTAGAGATCAGAAGTTTCTTTCAATTAAGACATGGTTTTTGCTAACTTGTGACTCTTTTCCAGTCATCAGTACTTCTTATAATCAGGAAAGAGAATTTGGGCTTCAAGTTGGACATGACAAGACCCCAAGAACAAGTCTCTGTGAAAGGGAAGATTAGTGAATAGACAGCATGTGATAAGAGTGGGAGTGAGGGAGGGTGAAGACACATTGGCAAATAGTTCCTCAGTCTGGACACAAGTGGGTCCTTATTGACTTAACAGATACCCCAAACATAAGAGTAAGGCCCTAGTCTACAGACCAGACTCCTTCTTTTTGCCTCTTTCCAGTAGTTCAGTGATTGTGCCCTGGAGTCTGGAGAGGGGAGGGGATGGTGGTCTGCACCGATTAGTGACAGGAGGATGGAGACACATGGATGGAACTGAGTTCCATATTAGAGGAGCATTCAACAGTGATAGGCCAGATGGGAACAGTGGTGAGGTAGGTAGGTGGGGCTGAGGGAGAAGAGGGCATAGTCAAGTACACAACTCTCCAGAATTTCTGGATTGAGCTACAATGTAAACCAAAGTGGCACTCATGAGTACAGGGAAGAATTGGAAAAATTTGGGGGAAATATGGGCAGCTTACATTTCCCAATGAGAAGTTGGCGTTGCCTAGTGAGTCATCCCAGAGGGGATGGCTGAGACCAACAGCTGGTTACAGCCTTTACAACAGAGGTCAGGGAGGTGGCATCTGTGAACATTTGAACCTAACCTACTGTCACAGTGCTGCTTCTCTGAGAAAATAGGATTCAGATTCAAAATACCTGAAACAGCAAATACACCTTTCCGCGTGGCGCTTGGGAGTTGCAGAGCAGCTAGACACATTTATACCAGGGGCCTATCTGGGGTTGTTAAAGGGCTAAATGGGTGCAGCAGAAAGTTCCCATTGACAGATGAGTAGATATAGAAATTGTGGAATATGTACTCAACAGAATACTACTCAGCTGCTAACTATGATGTACCCTTTGCTAGAGTCATCTAGAGTTTTAGCTCTGCTCTCTTTTTAACCACGTTCAAAACCAGTAATTTAAAAACAATTGCTAATTAATGTATCAACCCACATTTTATCAATTTTATCTTTTCAATTTATTTATTTTGCAACTTCTTTCTGGACTCGCTTTTTCTTTCCTGAAGTATATTGTCAAGTAGCTTTTTCAGTGAGGATCTGTGCATTATGAACTAGCTCTTAGTCTTTGTATACATAAAGGTATCTTTTATTTATTTTTCTTACTTTTGAATTTTTATTTAGCTGGGTATAGAATTTCAGAATAATAATTCTATTTTCTTAGTACACTGAAACTGTTACTTTACTTTGGAGACTTTGATTCCTGGCATCTATTATCAATCTATTAATAATATTAATCTGTCATCAATAATAAGTCTGCTTTTCTTCATAATTATGTTCCTTCATAAGTTAACTCGTTAAAACTTTAAGATTTTTCTCTTTATTTTTTAATATTCTTTACTTTTATATTATATATTTCTTTGTCCCAGTTTTAATTTTCAGGATTCATTGGTTCTTTTTCATATAGAGCCATCTTTATTTTTATCTATTATTGTTTGATAATTCCTTTTATTTTTATAGTTGTTGTTCTCTACTTGATAAAAGCATGAGGCTTTAAAATTTTTTTTCAGGTTTTTCTATTATATCCATTTCCTCTTGAGTCAGTTCATCAATTCTAGAGTTTGTTGACTATCTTTCTTAGTATTTTTCTCCCCTTAGTTTTAGTTTGTAGACTCTTCTGAGTGCAGGGTTATTTGTTCTCCTCTTCCAGTGCTTTTTTTCCTCTGTCCAATGACTGTGTTCGCCTCTGCCCAACTATAGGGCCTTCATTGGACAGTCATGTGTCTCATAATGACAGGGACACATTCTGAGAAATGTGTCATTAAGTAATTTTGTCATTGTACAAATGCAAACTTGGCAGTGGGTTTTGTACACTTAGCCATAATGAACAAAACATCATGAGATTGGATCAAACACAAGGGAAATGGTGCTATCAATAGAGAAGGTAAACACTAGATGCAGGAGGCTACTGCAGCATGCAATGCTCCAACATTACAATGGGTATGAGGTGACTAGGCACTAGGAATTTGGGGACCACCATGACATATGCAGTCTATCATTAACCAAAACGTCTTTTTGTAGCACATGGCAGGTAGTGGCAGGTCCTTTAGTGATATTATGACTCTGTTTTGCTTTTATGTTGAGGCTATTGTAGATCCATTTGCTGAGGTTGTGGCTGGCTCAGATTATGGTGTAAGACTATTTCTGAGTCCTTCTGTTTCCCGAGGTACTTAGCTTCATATGAAGTGTAGCACCAGAGAATGGGAAGAATTAGCTCTGATGAGCTGCTTCTTATGAGCAGGGGATGTGCACAAATCCATGATGTCAAGCAGTTGCTCTGGCCCCTTGCTTTCCTGTTTATCACTTTTAAATCCTGCTTTTGAGTATGACTGTGCTCTCCTAATTTTTGCTATAAAATATATTTTTGCAGAGTGGTTGACACACGGCATGAACTTAAAATGTCTTCTTGAGTGGAATTATTGGCAGACATTTTCCAATGTCCTTTATATGTATGAGGTAAGACTGTAGATATAGTTATGTAATTTGTTTTTGGTTTGGTTATTTGTTTTTAGTTCGTACTATGTCTGAGCAAAACTTCAAGTCATTACAAACTTCGTAAATACTTATCATTGCATTTTGCTTGTATAAAATAATTTTTGTTCACACAACACCAATGATAAAGGACTGATCACAAAAATCTGCAAAGAGCTGATGAGATTCAACAAAAGCAAAGAAAATAATCCAGTCAAAAAATGGGCAGAAGAGCTAAAAAGAAACTTCTCTGAAGAGGAAATGCAAATGGCCAACAGGCATATGAAAAAATGTTCAACATCACTTGTAATCCGGGAAATGTAAATCAAAACTACAATGAAATACCATCTTACCCCAGTGAGAATGGCACATATTAAAAAAACTAGCAACAACAAATGTTGGCGAGGTTGTGGAGAAAAAGAAACTCTCCTGCACTGTTGGTGGGAGTGCAAATTGGTCCAACCACTATGGAGAGCTGTGTGGAGATTTCTGGACCTACTAAACATAGAGCTTCCATATGATCCAGCAATTCCACTCCTAGGTATTTACCCACAGATAATTTTAAAGCTTCTAGGTTTTTTGTTGAATTTGTTAACGTATAGGATATTACTAAGGCGCTTGACCCAGCTTGACCCTTATCCTAATGAGAACCAAAGGGAGCCTTTGGCTAACGTGGAGAAAGGGGCCAGAGCTTTGATATTAGCTCAGAGCTCTCTCTAAGTCTCTTCCCCCAACTTTCTAACTAATTGGAGAACAGGCCATCTCTGGGTCATAGAAGTCATCGATTTTGGAGACTGTTATGGAATCTTTGGGACAACAGGTGAATTTTGCTCACCAGCTTTGGATCAGTCTAATGAACTGTTTATGTGAACTAGAGATTTCTAGAGTAGAGGCTCAGGAGGAAATCACCTTAAGAATAAAAGAGTTCCAGAACCATCTACCCATCAAAGTGACTTCTACCTTTCAGTTGTAGGCTTCCTTGTATCAGCTCCTTGGACTCTCCTAAATGACTTTAGATTCTGACTGTACTCATAATCTCATATGTCTCTGACATTTGGTATTTTAACATTCTTTGTAGTGGACTTCATTCTTGAATCAAGATGCTTTGGGTCTGCTCACTCTATATTGGCACACAGTGTGGGAAAGCTCTTGGGTTGGGATCTTTCTAAGCAGCACTTTTTCATATCGACTACTTCATCCCAATTTATAGCATGGTGCCTGACTACATTAATGTCTATATTGATATCCATTTGTGCATCTATAATTACATCTATATCTCTATCCATATCTCTATTTCTATCTATGTCTGTCTTGACAAGGATGTCCTCTCTGGCCAAATTTCAGTCACTCTCCTCTGAGCCCTCTTCTCTACTAGACCTCAGCCTTGGCCTGTTCAACCCAGCTTTAGCAAGGAATCATGCCAAAACAGTATAATCCCCCCACTTTTGATATCTGGTCAAGTTCTTCATTCCCATCCTTAATTACTAAGTCTTTGGCCTGTCTTCAGCAAGAATGTTGTTAAGCTAGTTTGCTATAAATCCCCCTACCCTCTATATCTAATCAAGTTTCTTTCAGTAATTTCTAACCACTGACCCCCTCACTCTGCTCTTTGACTTTAAATCCCCAGCTGTTTAGCTGAATTTGGAGTTGTGCTCAGTTTTATACTGAAATCTCTTTTTCTTAACACAGTAGCTTGAATTTAAATGGGAATTTTTAAATTTCCCATATTAAACCAGTGTCCAGTACAGAATTTTTCTTTTTTCTTTTTTAATATCTTTATCTTCTTGCGAATTGATGAGTAAACGAACAAAGAAGGGTTGGAGCAGTGACTGTAATTGTGAAAAATATCCTATTGATCTTTGAGACTCTGTGCTTGAAACAAATGTGTGACTTGATATTTCCAAGTATTTCACTCAAACCTGCTCCAACCCACACTGCTGCCACTGGCATTTGGTTCCTCTCCTTGCCCAATTCACCTATGGAAAGTATCTGCCAGATGCTGTGCCCAGTTGCTGAATGGCTGACTTGTCTTGAATGCAGGCTGATTGGAGAGTGCTTGCGTCTCCCATATGTGAAAAAGAGACATTTAGAAAGTAGAAATCTGAAAGACCTTTCAACCTGTAAACAACAGAATGATGTGCTTAGAGGAGCCTCTGGAGAGAAGCCAACGTGAGTGGGAGTGTGAAGGAGGACTTATTTTTCTTTTGTTCCTTTGGGCTTGGTTACCATATTGATAAAAATGAAGACCCAGTGCATAAAAATTTTGCTGTCAGAACAAAATGCATTTCAAATTGTGTCAACTCCAGCTGAGAGTGTTGTGCAAGACTATACTTTATTCCTGCTGATCAGTTTTCACTCAACAGAACTGTGGAGGGGTCTTGCTGTCAAGCAGTGAGCACGTACCTTATCTAACACCCGGTGAACTGTTGCCAGGGACTGGCCAGTTGTTAACATTGAAGAGGTGTAGACAAGAAAGGAAAAGGTAACATGTTACTGTCATGTAGTATCTGTGGTGCTGAAGAAAATATCTGATGAGCAATGGATGGGTTTGGCAGAAGGAAATGACCTTGTGTGTTGATCTAAATTGACCTACTTTAAAAATGAATTATATACTAAAAAAACAAGCACCAGCCTGTTCACTGAAGACTCTTTGCAGCAATGAATAATGGAAAATAACCTCAAATTTCTAAATATTTACTAGTAGAGGGATGGCTACACTATGGAATACTATGCAGTCCTTAAATAGAATGAGTTGGAGCCCAGCTCAGTAAAACAGTAGCGCTCAACCATTGTCAATCCAATTCCTCCTTTTGTAACTACGATCATATAACCGTAGTAGAACTAATGAATGCATATTAACCTACCTACACACACCATTAAAAAAAAAAAAAAAACTTCACCCTTATCAAGTTAACTAAAACTTGAGAGAAATGAAAGGAACTTGTAATAAAACCACATGCATGTTGCTAAATCAGTGCTAAGGTGGGACTAGACTGACAGCTATGACAAAGTGGCCAGAAGTTTTCCCCTAAGTGTGGTCATGGAGAGCCATCCTAATGAGGGGAGGAGGGACAGCATTGCTATTATGATAAATTTCTTTGAAAAAGGGTGAATAACTCCTGCCAAAATTATGACAAAACAAAGTACCGTTTCTCTGCAATGCTGGGATGTGAGCAAGTCTTGACTGTGTGGGAGTATATTGCAGTTATTTGGCACCCACGTTTCCAAACATCTAGGGTGTGATAGTATCTTACAAAAGGCCTCAGGCTCCTGACACCTGCTCATTCTGTGGATGAAAAGACCTGTGGCTGAGAGGGTTTGCTGTGTTTAAAGGCCAGAGAGGGACTAGAACCCGAGACGCTTTAAATAATACATATAGTTGCCTCCTGGGTGCTTTCTGCCCTGCAGAGGCTAGATGAAAAGAGACCTGGTCCTGGGATCTGGGAACTTGGATATTAGACCTGCCAGAGAACATGATCCTCTCTGAACATCAACTTTATTTCATTTATTGTTAGTAATAAGTTATTTTTATTTTGAAACAGTCTCAAACTTAAGGAAAAATTATACATTCAAAACCAAGAACTTCCTGCCATCTTGAACCATTTGAAAGTTGTAATTGGGGAAAAGAAAATTCAGTATAGAACTGAGCTCAATTCTGAATATAAGGAATAGTGGGAACTTACAGCCTGGGAGCAGTGAGTGGGTACATAGATGGAAAATTACAAAGGGTAGGGAAATACTTGCTAAATTGACTCAGTAGGATTCTTGCTAAAACTGAAATGTGCAGCCTCGTAAAGACAGGTCAAGGTTCTACACAAGAAGAGGACTCAGAGAGCCTGACTCAGGTTTGGGAAGTAAGGCCACCTCACTGGCCTTACTGGATACCTTGCATTGTGTACCATAGTGACATTTTCAGCTTACATATTCCCTTTCTCACTTGCTCAAGGCAGGTAATGATCTATACTCCCTTTTGACAGATGGAGACTCTGAGGCTCAGAGAAGTTATGTTATTTGATCAGGCCACATACTACATTAGTGGCAGGTCTTGAATAGGGCCCAGATGTCCTCATTCCCATGCAGGGGCTATAATTCAGCTGCCCTTGGCAATGAAGCAGGGCAAGAATAAGCTGAGCAAATTCCAGCCAGGTGGGATTTAGATTCTGAGCACAGCAGATAAGCTCAGCTGAAGAGAAGGATGAGCTGAGAATGAAAATGTGGGCTCCCCAAGTTGAGCTGAATCCTGCCATGTGGCCTACAGGGAGGTGGATGGCCTGAATAACTGGGCGGGAGAGGAGGTGTTTCCCCCACCCCACAAATGTCTCACACTGCCAGGCAAGGGAGGTGGGGCTCACACCGTGCCTCCTTTCAGGAGCTCTGTGCTTATGGGACACGGTTGTAAATTAGACATCCCCATGGTGAATGGGGATTACAGGCATCCTGCAGAGAAATTCTGTCCAGAGGAACATGGCAAGCTTCATCCAGACTTATGCATTTGCATTGGCACTCCCTCTTCTTGCTGCACCCTTTTCTCTGGATCCCAGTCCACTACCCTGTCTTTGTTCCATCTTAGGATCCCAGATGCCTTGTCACAGATTGAGGCACTCTAAGGAAGGATAAACAGGAGGCTGTGGTTCTCAAAATGTGGTCCCAAGACCATCAGCATCAGCACCATCTGGGAGCTCTTTGGAAATGGAAATTCTTGATTCCCACCCCAGATGCCCTGACTCAGAAATTCTGGGGTGGGTCTTAGGAATCTGTGATTTAATGGGCCCTGAAGTTAATCCCAATTCCTGCTCAAGCCTGAGCCCCAGGGGAGAGGGAATAGTCACCTGCCTCTACCAACATCTCAGAAAGAGGCTTTCACTGTTACCCCACCCAGAGGAGCTGCCTCGGCTTTACCAGTCCCTGGGGTTCATATCGTTTCCTTCCCGCAAAGTGCATAGGATCAAGTCAGGACCTCATGGCCATTGGGGATGGTGGGGCAC